CCTCAGGTTTGCTTCAGCCCATTCAGATTCTTCAGTGGAAATGGGACAGGTAACCATAGACTTCGTGACCAAATTACCAATGACCATACAGAGGTACGGCGCAGTTTGGGTCATAGAAGACTTACTGACCAAATCAACACACTTTCTCTAATTAGGATGGACTACACCTTAGACAGGTTGACTCAGTTGTACATCCGCGAGATAGTTATGTTGTACGGTGTACCGACTTCCATCATCTGAAACAAGGATCCTCGAATCACCTCTCACTTTTGGGAAACCCTCCATAAATCCTTAGGCACCAAACTACACTTCAGCATAATCTTTTCATCCTCAGAAAGATGGCCAGTCAGAGCGATTTATCTAGATTCTTAAGGACATGATCAGGTGCACGATCATCGATCTCAAGGGTAGTTGGGATGACCACTTGTCATTAGTGGAGTTTTCCTACAACAACAGCTTCCAGTCGAGCATTCAGATCACTTCGTATAACGCATTGTGTGGGCGTAAGTGTAGAACTCCGCTACGTTGAAAAGAGCTCGGTGAGGGTAAAATTGTAGTCCCAGACTTGTTTAGAGAGACCGAAGAGAAAGTTCGGTTGATTCAGAGCTGGATAAAAGAAGCTTTAAACAGACACAGGTCTTAAGCAGATTTAAAATGTAGAGACGTTGAGTTTGTAGTTGAGAATAAGGTATTCCTCAAGGTTTCCCATTGGAAGAAAGTTCTTTGTTTTGGGTGCAAAGGAAAGTTGACTCTGCGCTTTATAGGACCTTACGAAGAACTCGATAGAGTCAGACCAATGGCTTACAGGTTAGCCTTACCACAATAATTGGAGTGTATATATAATATGTTCCATGTGTCTATGCTCAGGAGATATCGTTCAGATCCTTCTCACGTCATACCCCTATAACATATTAACATCAACTCAGACATTACCTATACAGAGGAGCCAGTCAGAATCCTAGCAAGAGACGTCAAGGAGTTAATGAATAAGAGGATTCCTTTAGTGAAAGTGTTGTGGAGGAACCATGGCGTGGAGGAAGTAACTTAGGATACTGAGAAGGACATGCAGTTTCAGTATCTTCACATCTTCTACCCAGGTAAATTTCGAAGACAAAATTTTAATTAGGAGGGGAGAGTTGTAACGCCCCGAATCTCAGGTTAGGAGATTTAGGCTAACCCAACATAGGCATTGGATTAAATCTCTATCTTGTAAGAAGCTTTAACCCAAATTGAATTGGATTGGGCTTAAGTTAAACCCAATAGAGAGTAAAAATGAGTATTTTTAGTTGCAGTAAAAAATCAGAGGACCAAGGGAGTAATTATACCATTGTTCAAAATAAAGCCTGAAAACCAATTAAGATTGGCGATCTCACGTCTGAACCCAACTTCCTCTTTTTGATTATCTTCTTTGTCTTCTCCTCTTTTTCTCCCACTCTTTCATTTTCCCTTTGGCAAGAACAAATGTGGAAGCTTTGTGCTTCGTAAGCTCAGTTCAAGAAAACTATGGTAAGTTTCATAATCCTCATCACATCAGCTTCAAATTAAGCTCTCAACTTTCTCATTCTACCAAGGTAACCAAAAATGAGTTTAGTGGGGGTTTTAGAAACCCAAGTATTTTCAGCTTGTTTTGGGGAAATTTAGGCCTCTTAGAACATTTTAAATTCTTCTTTAATCAGCAACGTTAGTCATTTATATATTTGATTTTGTCTAGTGAGAGAAGTTGGGGAAAGCTCTCAAGTAAGAGGAAAAGAAAATCTCACATTGGGTTGATCTTTGGGCACCCCTAGCAGCTTAGAGTCATCAGGTAACTTATTTCTAACTCAACTATACCATGTGTAGCTCATTAGAGTTTTGATAGATTTCATAAGCTTTAAGCATGCCATGGTAGATTTCATCATTTGAGTGTTTTTAGCATGTTTATAGACTCTTTATGGCCCCTAATATACATAAAACACTTAAACATAAGTTGGGGACCTCAATGAGACATTTGGAGTAGGCAGATAGGATTTTTCGTACTAAAACAAGGCAACCCATTGTAGTAGTATCGATATTAGAACATTATTGATATTGTTCTTCAATCAGGCTTAAAAAGACAAGTTTTAAAGGGAAGTATCAATACTCATCTTTAGAGTTTCGATACGAATGCTCTGATTTTGATATCGACTGGCTTGGTATCGAGACCAATATAACAGTAGGCAATTTCGGTACCGATACTCATATAGAGTATCGATATCAGGGCAAGGGTATCGATACTCCCAATAGGGGTCTCAATACTGGGGGAATTTTGAAATCATCGAACCTAATTTTGGTATCGATACTTAGTCCAATATCGATACCCCAACAATCGATACTACCTTAATCAAACAACCTTATTCAGTCAGGGGATATCGATACCAACAGGAGGGTATCGATACCAACAGTCGAGTACGATACTGAATAGTCAATATCGGTACCCACAAACAGATTTGGATAAATAATCCAAGGATTAAGGGATCAGACCCGAGGTACCCCAAATACACTTAATAACACAAATAAGACTTCAAGCAATAACAAAAAATAATTATCAGAACAATAGAAATAGTAACAACTATGACTACATAAACTAGCCTTGTTTAATGTCGGGAAACAATCAAAACACCCGAGTTCCTCTTAGCATAAGTACGACAATCAGGGGATATCCAAGTCAGTGCCAAGGCACTTCAGCAGTCTGGGCGCTATTTCACAAGACTTGACGGAGTAAGTCGACGGGGTACGTTTTCGATGCAGCTTCAGACATCACCCCATTTACCCAAGGGGCCGGTATACACTTCCGATGCAGCTCCAGATCTCACCACGACACCTGAGGGTATTCCAACAGGCTAGAGGGGTGTGTGCGCTCTGAGATGCAGTCCCTCAACCGCACCATGATGTCTGCCACCGCTTAGTAGTTCAATATTTAGTATGTACAGACATGTACCATCCATATCATTAAATGAATGCATATAGTATATTACAATTATTAGTGATGCACTGAGCTCGTAAGCTCAACGTTCGAAATGTATTTCCGTGCTCAGGTTCTTAGGGACAGATCGTGGGGAGTTATCGTTGCCACATTCTAGTGCAAGACCATCTTTCTAGACCTTTAGAGTACGTCTTGAGTCATGCTTTAGAGGACATGTACTATTGTAGGCCCTTTTATGTATTCAGTTGTAACTTTATTTGGTACATCAATATTTGTATTTTAGATGCATATTGGGAGCTCCCCATTGATTTGTAAAACCGTTATTACCACGTTTATTTTATTACTATGGATGACTTAATTTTTCAACGATTTATAAGCATTTCTTTTTTTAAGGGAAAATTTTGGGTCACTATTCAGTAGTCTCGTGTAACATTATAATCTATGGATTTTCGGATCAGACTGGATTAGAGTGTTACAATCAATTTGTATAAATTAATCGGTCTCCTCTTGAATATTATGGTCTTATGAATGAAAATATAAAAGAGAGTATTGTCTCTCGTTCTCCTATTTTATCTTCATGAGAGTTGTTTCTATAGATCTTGACGTTATAAAATACGATTTGAATATAGTATTCCCCATTAAATATTCATTTAATACAAATGAAATACAATTTATTCAAATATAAATTATTTTGGAATTTGTATAATTAGGGACCGAACTACATGGGCCCCTCCCCAACACCAAACTTGATGGTTTAATTTTAGGTCACTAGTATTTTTAAAATTATTACAATTAAGTCATTGCCCTCCCAAATTTATTGGTTTAATTATATTTGGACCCTTTTAGTTTAAAAATTAATTGTTGACTTCTATTTTTTTGTTTAATTACTCTTTATTAAGAGATTAAATTTTAAGGTTACAAAGTTACAGGGACTGAGATTAAGATTATACATACACTAGAATTTAAATGAGAATCGCGGAGAGAGGACTGAGTTTTTGACGCGAAGGGATTGCTTGAAAAGAAAGTTCAAAATTTTAAAACGATGTTGACCGTCGATTATATGATCAGAGAAAGTATTATAAGCGGATGGTTTTCATTGAGTTTTTCTGTGGTTTCGGATTCATGAGATGATTCCTTATTATTTCATGTGTGGCGTCATAATTTGTTACAACGATTAAGAAAAAGAATAATTTGATTGTTTCTTGTGTCATGTTTTATTGTAGCGTATTAAGAATAATCTCTTTTCAAAATTTGATTTATAAAATAATTTTTTTATATTTTTATAATAATTAACATTAAAATTATTAATTTAAATTAAATAATATAAAATTTTTTTTAAAAATAAATATTTTAACCTAATTACTTCATTATAAAATCTTATCCTACTCAACGAGCCTAATTATTCTTAGGCTTAACATAAAAAAATATCTGAACTATACATCTTTTTTCATTTAGATGTCTAAATTTTTTCGATCAATTTAGATGACAAACATTATTAATATTATCATTTAAGTGCCTCAATTGTAATTACATTAAAAATTTCTTTATTCGGTATTCACATTTATATAATTTTAACTTTTTTTAAAAAATAAAAAATCATGGTGGGTTCTTCGGACCAGATAGTAACTCGTCGATGGCAACAACGGTAAAAGTGATGGTCAACATGAATAAAGAGGTTGGAATTGGAATTTTCAAAGTTACGAGGTTTTTCAAATTCGAGATGAATTTGAGGTATTTTTAAAAATAATTATAATTTTATATATTTTTAAATAATTTTTTTCTCAAATTTTTATAAATATGACGCATGTCGAATAACAATTCTTTTTAATGAACGTAATAGACCAAACATATAAATAATAATATTAGTAACATTAAATACTTAAATTGATCTATAAAATTTAAACAACTAAATAGAAAATTAAGGTTAGTGTAATTTGATTTATATTATGCCTTATTCGTATATTATCCTAAAAGCTCTCGTTTCCATATTGTTATCTAATGCAGCACGGATCACATTAATATAATGCAACCCCCTGCGTCTATATTAACGCAAAACCAAAATCCAGAAAAGAAACCGTCAGTTTTTTTTCCTTCCCAATTTGCTCCGCAAAAATGCCAAGTCTTCTTTCCTTTCCGCTTAGGGTTTCCATTTCCGCCATTGCAGGTCTTTCTTGACCTTTAGTTTCTCTCACATTGCATCGGAATCGGCGCATTGTTTTGAGAACTATTTCGAATTTTTAAATTTTTTCCTCAATTTTAGGGTTTCCCCCGAGATTTTTCTGGTATAGATCGAGGTTAGTTTATACTTTTTATTTTCTTCTGCTCTATTTATAGGGTTTTTATTTTATTTTGATCGAACAATAATTGCTGCTATTTCTTTATTTGGACTGCATGACAGCGTAAATTTTCTTGTTACATGGAACTTTTACAATGTATATCGTATTTCGTCGTTTCTAGTTTGAACTTGTTTAACCACATTTTTTGACACTTGATTTTCGTTAAATTATTTAAAATTTAGTTCTCTTATTAAAAAGAACTAATACGAAAAGGAAAATGTCAGTAATATTCGATTTTGCAAACATGATCGTTATCTAACTTTTTAGTTTCTTGAATTTCCAGCATTAATTAAAAAAATTATACGCGTGGATTTTATTTATTATTGTTTGTTTAGATTTTGGTTCTATTAATTACGAGGTATATATATTTTTGTACGAATATTTTGGTGATTTTATCTGGCCTTGTTTATTGCAATTTATAGATTTGGTGCTAGCTTTGTGTCTCAATGGTATGCTCACTGGGAAGCAGTAGAATGGCTGTTATGGCTAGGATTCTTGAAGCAGGAAGCATCTCGCCCTCTATAAAAGGTACAATATGACTACGTGGTATGAAATAATGGAATGTGTATACTTACAAGTTACTGGGATTCAATTGTGAAAGATATGGGTTTGTTTATTTTTTCTACATTTTCCCTTGTACTTGGAGATTTCTTGGAGTGAGGATATCCAGGTGTGAGTAGGTGTCAGACATGGGTTTTGGAGAAAAATGAAGAGTTAGAGCAACTTGGTTTTCGATATCCAATGTATCATACAACTTTTAATGATTTGCGACCCTTGGTTACATGGTCAAAAATTGAAATGATGTGGTCTAAGTTTGTGACCAATTGGTAGTAGTTCCTAGCAGAACGGAACTACATTGTAGCTGGGAGGTGTCCTGCCTCCCCAAATTTTTTTCCAATGGCAATTTAGGTATCTCTAAGTTTAAGTACTAAATAGATCTCTATTTTTTTAAGTTAAGACAATTTGAGCTTTGACCCTAGCTCCGTTCCTGGTTACTAGTGAAATAGTGTTGTAGAACGAAGTGATACATCATACAAGAGTAGTGATAGAAATGTCTCAATTTTGCGACACCTATTGGTCTCTTCTTTATATTTTATCGTGATTGTCATCTTCTGAATACTTTAAGGTAGATAAATAAATTTTTTCATACAATTGGTCTTTCCTTTCATTTTGAGGAACTCTGTCATTATTACAGATAAGTTGGTGTTAGCCCTTCTCCACCATGAAAAGAGAACCCGCTACTTTTGTTTCTCCATGAATATATCCCACTTTTGATTCATGTACATTATTATTTTTGTTCTCTCTCCCTATTTCAAACTTGTGATTATGCCTGTGAAACTCTTGATTCACTTTTAACATAGTTAAAAAGAACATAAGCATGTTATCAAATTTATGTCACTGCATGTTAAACTTCACCATTCCTGCCTACACTCGTAGTCATATTGTTGATCACTTGTGTATTGTGTGGTAGGGAGGTGGAATCAGTGTCTCATTTATTTCTGCATTGTAGGGTTGTGTGGGGTCTGTGGTCATCATTTTTGAAAATGTGGAATGTGTCATTGGTGATTCCAAAACATATCATTGATTTTTTTCATTTTGTGGGATGATTTATTGCCTAATTCTTTGATTTGGAAATTCATTCCTAGGGCAGTGGTGTGGTCAGTATGGACATGTAGGAATGAGATTATCTTTCAGAAAGTAAAGCTGGATTTGGTCAGATTGTCTTTCATTGTCAGATTTAGAGTAGCTTCATGGTTTGTAGCTCGGTTCAACGAGTTGGTTATTCCTTTAGATTCCCTAGTAGGCGATTTAAAACTGGCTGATTCGGTGGGAAGATCAGGAAAGGGCTGCTCTCAATCAACTTGCTGGGTTCCTCCCCCGGATGGGTTCTTAAAGTTAAATGTTGATGGAGCGATGGTTTCGGGGTGGGATAAAGGAGGTATTGGTGGTTTGATTCGGGATAGTAGAGGAGTGCTGTTGCAGTGGTTCTCTGAAACAGTAGGGGGTGGTCCTCCTTTCATGGCAGAGTTGTTGGCAATTAAGAGGGGGCTTTGTCTTATGGATGAGTTAGATTCGGTTCCTAATCAGAGAGATTTATTCTCGAATCTGACTCAATTAATGCTCTGAAGTGGATCCAGAATCTGGGTTTATGCACTTCTTTGTTTCTATCATTGGTGAAGGATATAGTTTCGCTTTTGGAAGCAAAGGATGTTATTATTAGGCATATATTGAGGGCGGCAAACTGGGAAGCTGACAAACTAGCTAAAGATGGGATAGGGTGATTTTTGGTTTATTTGGTTGTGTTGATTAACAGGAAATGCAACTTTCTGTTGTGTTAGGTGTTTGAATTAAGTCTTATGTTCTTCAGTTAAAGGTTTAGGGGACAGTTCTGCCTATGTAATTTGGCTCTTATGAATAAAAGTTTCTGGGCACTCTTTTCCTCCTTTGATCCTTCATGTTACTTTAAGTACAGTGGGGTATGACCATGAGTGAGAAAAGTAGAGAGAGAAAGAGAGCGGGTGCGTTTGGTCATTCATTCTCCGGTGAGGAATGGACTGTTTTTGTTGGAAATCTTAGTAAGAGAGTTACCAGAAGTGAGTTAAGAGAGATTTTCAACCATTATGGTAGAATAGTGAGGGTCTTTATCCCAAGTTTTATGGTTAAAACGAATTATAAGTCATCAACGTTTGCTTTTGTGCAATATGCGGTGGAGGAAGGTTGCAGAAGAGCAGTTATGAATGTAAATGGAACGTTGATTGATGGGAAGAGAGTCACTGTGGGGGTGGCTAAGTATAAGAGGGGCCGGAAGAGAGATGCAGAGGTTAAAAGATCTCAGCTGGAAGGAATTAAGCCATGTAGAGAAGCTAATGGCAGACAGCAGGTTGACTTGGAGTCACCGAGAAGTTTGAGAGATGGCAGAACGTATAAGGAGGTTGTGAATGTGGATAACAGTAGGAGTGTGGATCAACAAAGAAGGGTGAACTGGGAAGGTCAAAGAAAGCAAAAGGAGTAAAAATGTCTGGGATATGCACATCCCTTCAGAAGATTTTGCTGGGTGAAAAATTCCTTAACAGGGATTTTAAAGATACATTTCAGCCTGTTATGGTGGTGCGAGCTTTGGCAAAAGAGGGTTCCAGGTCAAGATAGTAAAGTGGGATATGTTAGGACGCATGCATTATTATCTTCAATACAAATGAAGAGTTCCTGAAGGCGTGGTCGAGTCTTAGAGAGAAACTTTACTGCTGGTTTGATTGGGTAGATCCATTGTTGAGTGAAGATGGAGTCCCTTTGGCTTATTGCTTGGTCGAGTTGGTTGGGTTACCGCTTCTTAGTTGGAGTATTCCTTTCTAGAGAAGCTTGGAGGAAAGTGGGGAAAGGTTGTTTGTATCCCGGAGGGAACAAGAAACAGAGATGACCTCTCTTCGGCTAGAATGCTGCTAAGGGTGGCAAGTCCGTTCGATGTACAAGAATCTGTTATTGTAGGATCTTATGGCAGATCGTTTAAAGTTAAAGTTAATGTGGGATCCAGCTCTAATGCTTTCTCTGAAGCTTATGGAGACGTGAGGCAGACTGTGTCATTTGGCAACTGCAATGACGAAGTGTCAAAGGAGAAGATGGTAGAAACAAAGATAAGGTAGGAGACAACAGGGAGAACTCTGCGGAAGGTTTCTGGTCAAAGTTGACACGTGGCTTCAGAAAAGTCAAGAAAGGAGGACGTTAGAAGAAGGTGGAGATCAGGATTTGGAAAATAGTCAGACACTCTGCCCAATAGTAATGGGGTGTCAGACAAGTTTGAATTTGAATTAAATACCAGGGGGGAGTTTGCAGGCCTTGGGCTGAGAGAGGTTGCAGCCCAGAGTTCAGCCCATTCGGAGTCTAATTGGGAGGCTTATTTCCTGTTACTAAAATTATTCCAGCTGGCCCTGCTGTGAAGTTGAATTGGGCTAGGCTAGCAAACAAGATAAGGAGCAGAATGTCTGAATTTTTTGCAGAAGAAAGAAGTGTATCAATAGAAGGAAAAATGGGGATATGGAAGATGAAGATATTATGATAGGTTTGTCAATTAGGAGTGCTCCTGTTGGCAGAAGGGGAAGGCGCTATGCCCGAGTTTATAAAAGGTCAAGAGATAGAAGAATTTGTGTCCAGCTATTGAAGATGATGTCTTCTGTCCCATGGCTTCTCCGAAGCTTAAGCAGAACAATTCTGTTCCTAGAAGTATACAGCAGTTTCCTACGAATAGTATTGGAAAGGGACAAGATAAGGACTTCAATGGTTCTGCCGATTTTCAGAATACATCTACGGTCCCTACCATTTGTAATGATGGTGTTGAAAGGGTGGAAGCTATTTCTGTGAATGCTTCAGGGAAAGGAAATGAAAAGAGAAGGAAGAGAAGGAAGAGGAGAGCCTTAATTTCTGAAGCTATTGACTTGGTTAATATTTCGACTGCTTCTTCTTCCTCTTTTGTGGAATTACTGAAGGAAGCAGTGGATACTTGGGAAGTGTGTGAGATGTTAGGTATTTCATTTAAGGAAGGGAAGGAGGCTTTTATTGATAAATTATTATGTCTTGGTCAAGAGACAGATGCAGTTAGGGGTGGATGAAGGCTGCTCAGTTTTAGCTGAGTGTAGGGGAGTAATTCTTTTTTATGATAATTTTAGTATTATTTCGTGGAACATTAGGGGTCTTGGGAGGAGGGAGAAGTGTGTAGCTGCAGCAAGGTTAGTCAAGAAGACGAAACCAGTTTTTTTTTCATTCAAGAATCTAAGTTGGAAAGATGCCATGGGGCGATTTTTAGAAGGATTGGAGGTAACTTGTTAAAGGGGGTGTTGGTTTCTCCAGCACAGGGGTCATCGGGGGGATTGATTACATTGTGGAATGAGAACGTGGTTCAAGTCATTGATCAGTTTGTGCATAGTAGGTTTCTGGCGTTAGTAGGAAAATCTAAGCATGGTTCTATGGAGTTTGTAGCTATTAATGTTTATGGGCCTCCAGTCGAAGCTGAGAGGAGGTTTTTTATGGGGAGTTGCTGAAGTATGTTAGAGCTCTAAATTTACCAGTGTGTCTAGGGGGAGACTTCAACGCGTATCTTGATCAGAAGAAAAGATAGGCAAATCACAAAATTGGCATACTATGGATATTTTCAGGTCATTCGTACAAAAAGCCAATCTCATTAACTTGCCTATGTCAGGAGGTTCTTTCACTTGGTGCAGTAATAAGAATCTTCAACATGGGTGAAATTGGATAGGTTCCTTATCTGCGCAATTCCTTAAGATTTTCCCTAACATTGTGCAGTCGATTTTACCGAAATCTATTTCAGACCATAATCCAGTCTTGCTGGAGGATAAATCTACAAATTGGGGTCCAAAACCTTTTAGGTTCTTTAATTTTCTATTAGAAGAACAAGGTTTTGATGATTTAGTTGCAGACTCACTGGAAGTAGAAGAAGAAGAACAATAGTGGTGGAATTTTCAGAATACTGCAGGGTGCAAAAAATGAAATCAGAAACTGGTCTGGAAGTGGACATTTAGGGCTGTCAGAGTCAATTTCGTTGCTGGAAATTAAAATTAACAGTCTGGATTTAAAGTGTCAAGGTGGAAAGCAGTCTGCAGGGATTGGGCACAATTGATTGAGTCTAAAAAGGAATTATGGAGACTGTTAAGGATTGAGGAGAGAATTTGGTTTCAAAAATCTAGAAACAGATGGATTAAAGATGGAGACAGGAATACAAGGTTTTTTCATCTTAGTGCATTGAAAGGAATAGATTCAACACTATTCATTCGATCAATTTTAAAGGCAAAGTTATTTCGGATCCAGAAAAGATAAAAGACAGTGTGTTTAAGTTTTTCAAGAAGCATATAATGAAAAAACTACACTGGAAGTTGAGGGCTTGAATTTTGATTTTAAACAGTTGTCTCAAGTTCAAAGTGATTCTCTAGAAGAGGTGTTTACAGAGCAGAAGTGTGGCAAGCAATTTCATCTTCGGATAGTGCAAAACCAGGGCCGGATGGTTTCACAATGGGTTTTACAAGAAGTATTGGAATTTGTTGAAGGTGAAGATTATGGAGTTTTTTCAGATTTCTACAATGGAAAGCGGTGGGTTCATGGAGTGAATCATGCTTTTATTACCTTGATTCCAAAGAAAGGTAATCCTGAGAGTATTGAAGATTATAGACCTATTAGTCTAGTGGGCAGCTTGTATAAGATTCTCTCTAAGGTTCTTTCGAAAAGACTTTCTCTTGTGTTAAAGATATTGTTAGCCCTACACAGTTTGCGTTTATTCGGGGAGGCAATGTTGGATTGCGCCTGTTTAGCAAATGAAGGCATAGATTATTGGAGGAAACAAGGGCTGCAGGGGGTTGTTTTCAAAGTGGATTTTAGCAGAGCTTATGACACCGTGGATTGGCAGATTCTGTTAAGGCTTATGAAGGAGATGGGCTTCGGAGAAAGGTGGTGTTCTTGGATAAATAATGTTTTCTACAGCTTCTATATCTATTCTACTGAATGGGTCTCCTACAAAAGAGTTTCATATTGCTAAAGGTTTGCGACAAGGATGTAGTCTTTCTCCTCTTTGTTTAATGTGGTGGTGAACTCCTTCATATGATGTTAAATAAAGCTGTGGAATTAGGATTATTTCAAGGGTTTTCTTTTGGAAATGTGCAAAACAGTTTCAATTTGACCCATCTTCAGTTTGCGGATGACCTAATTATTTTTGTCGAGCCTCCATCACTCAAATTAAAAACGTTAGACGAGTGTTGATGATTTTAGTTTTATGACGGGGCTTCATCTTAATTTAGTTAAGAGTAAATTGTAGGTATTATGTGGAGGAGGACACACTGAGAATTTGGGCTAGGGACATTGGCTGCTCTATTGGTTCATTTCCGACAGTTTTTAGGCCTTCCGCTAGGGGCTAAAAGAAACTGTGAGAAACTGTGGGAGCCAGTCCTAGCTAACTTTGATAAGAAATTGGCGGGATGGAAAGCTTCTCTTTGTCTATGGCCGGTAGATGGTGCTTATTAAGTCGGTTTTATCCTCTTTACCTATCTTTTATCTCGCTATTTTCAAGATTCCAGCTAAAATCTGTCAAAAATTAAACTCTTTGATGGCGAATTTTTTATGGGGTGGAGGAGAAGAAAAGAAGAAAATGCATTGGGTGAGTTGGAATAAAATTTGTAAACCGAAGTGTGGAGGTGGTCTAGGAGTTGTTGATTTGAAGCTTATTAATAGAGCACTATTGGGAAAGTGGGTGTGGAAGTTTGCCAACGAAAAAGAATCTTGTGGAAAAGTTCTTATGTTCTAACATAGTGTTAGTTGTCTTTCTATGGATGTCAATAAAGTCTCCTCCCATAAGGACTCTTGGATTTGGAGAGGTATTGTGAATAGCTACATGAAGGATGATTTCTTTGGAGGATGCATTAGATCTCATGCGAGGTTACAAGTTGGGAATGGCAATTCGATTTTCTTTGGAAAGATACATGGTTGGGGGTTTTCCATTGAAAGTTCTTTCCTAGGATTTTGCTCTGTCAACAAATCAAGGGGTAAGGTTGCTGAATTTGGTAGTTTTGATTGAATGGTTGGGAGTGGAATATTAAGACTAGGGGAATCTATGCGATTGGGAAGTGGCTCAGCTGGTTGATCTATTGGACAAGCTCAATGTTATCAAATTAAATGAATCTTTGAGGATTGCATGCTTTGGGTTGGTGCGGGCGAGGGTTTGTATTCCGTTAAAGCTTGCACGAAATCTTTCTACTCAGTGGATGAGGATAACTTTAGGTGGAACAAATGTGTTTGGCAAGGTCTGGTTCCTCCTAGAGTAGAGGTTTTCCTTTGGCAACTATCACTTAATAAAGTAGCGGTTAGAGGGGAATTGAAGAAAAGGGGGTTCACTTAGGGGAGGACTCTCTATCCCCTTTTGCAATCAAGCAGAGGAATCAGTTCAGCATCTGTTTATTTACTGCCAGTTTTCCTGGGTACTATGGAACAGAATCATAGCCTACTGGGGTATCAAGTTAGCCTTACCTACTGATCCTTCATCAATTATAATTTCATGGTCTGTTCTTAGGCCATTTTCTAATATGTGGAAGTTTATTCCGGGGGCTGTTTTATGGTCGATTTGGAAGATGAGAAACGAAATTGTTTTTGAAAGAGGCAAGCTGGACACATCTCATTGTTTTCACAGTCAGGTTAAGGCTTGCGAAATGGTTCCTAGCTAAGTATCCTTTATCCTATTCAAGTGGACTCTCTAATTGGTGATCCTTCATTGGCTAATATTCAGCTTCTCTTGATTAACAGGCCTGTGGTTTACTGGAGTCCTCCTCCAGTCGATTTTTTAAGTTTAACGTGGATGGAGCAGTTAGTAGGGTTGGGTTGTTAGCAGGAATTGGGGGCATTCTTAGAGATTGGAATCGGATTAAATTGATGTCGTTTTCAGAAAAAATAGGGCTACTCCTATTATTTTAGCAGAGTTAAAAGCTATCAAAAGGGAATAGACATCTTTGTGTCATCAGAATGGGTATGAAGGGAAGGCTTATTATTGAATCTGATTGCAAGCTAGCTGTGGAGTGGTTGAAATATCAGGAGTCAGTTCCTCCTTTTCTTTTAAATTTTGTCAAGGATATTGCGGATGCGGTTTCTGAGTATGAGGTCATTGTGAGGTGGATTCCGAGAAGATGTAATTGCGAGGCAGATTTGCTTGCAAAGGAGGGGATTGGGTAGTGGGTCACTTTTTTAGTACTGAGTTCGGAGGTTTTAATCAAGGCGTTATAAGAGTGTGCTTAAGTTTTATGTATCTTAAAGGAGTGGTTCTAGTTTTATGTAATTTTACATTATCATATTAAGGTTCTATTCCTCCTTCCCCTAGTAGGTTCTGACCTCATGGTAAGGGCTACTTAGAAGGAGGTTTTTATGAGACCTACTTTTCCTATCAAAAAAAATCCTTCATGTTACTTCATAGCATGGAGGCTTTGAAGGGGGTTTTTAATGAGGCCTACTTTCTATCAAAAAACATGACAAAAAAACATGACATGACATTGTCCTTGACTGTTGGCAGAGGATGTTGTCAATCAAAAGTTAGCTGCTCAATACATTTACAGAGAATTACGTGGGGCAGATGTGGCAAATTTACTTGATGAAGAAGGTGATGCTTATGTTCAATATAATGTTATTTTATTTGTCTTACAATTTATAATGTTTCTCTTACACCAAATTATATGGGCTATAATGTTGTGTCATTGTTTATGTGGCATGTTTATTTTCACTCACAGATATGCATGTCTTTGGTTTGAAGCCTATGACTGATCCTTTAAATTTGGTGAGTTTATCTGAGTGATTACATTTCAGTTCTGTTTGATATCATGTTGTTTTCTCTTTCATGAAAATAGTTTTTTCTGTTTATGCTCTCTTTAATCCATATCTATGTTATCTTTGCCTATTAAGGCCCCCAATATTTGGTTTTGGAATGCTGATGTATAATCTTAAATAAGAAGAAGTTCAACATTGAGTCTGCGCAGGTTTTAATATGGTTAATTAAATGCCACCAAAACTTTACTTTCCACTTGAGAATACTCACTCAGTAGCTTGCCCTTTGCATTCTTATTTACCAAATTTTCTTTTTGCCTCCAAAGGGTGTTCTTGTTTTTAAGATTGTGTCTTCACCAGGGTAGAAATGTACTCTTTATACAGTCTTTTTGTTGTTTTTTACATAAATTGTTGATGTGTACACCATTTTTGTTTTGTTCGCCTAATTGTTTAATATACTTGTGAAGGTATGTTGTAATGCATGTAAGAAGCCGGTCAAGGCCAGTCAATATGCTGCTCATGCAGGTTTGGAGGCATTTTACTTTCGTAATCGATCTTTCCCAATTTTTATCTTTATCAACTTAAAACAGTTAGACACTTAAAAAGACTTTTGCACATGCATTTATCTATGTTTAATGTATTTCTGTTGTCAATCAAGCATTATTGTTCTCAATGATCTTTCAATAAGCAGTAGGATTGAGCGATTCATAATCGTATTGTCTTCTTTTGGCATTGTTCTCTAGTTGAGACAGCTATGATTTGTTAAGTGGTGTCACTGGTGCTTCACTGAATTGCTTCTTTTTTCTCTGTTATGATTTTTCCAGAACTATGTAGGTCACTAAAAATCACAGAAGAAATTATTTGGAGCTTGATGGTAGTACAGGCCATAGGAAGCCTCCAAGGAAGGAAAGGAAGAAGTTACTAGCTGCTTATGCTAGTATCCCAATTTTTTCACTTTTTTTTCTCAATGCTTTTCAGTATTTTGCTGGCTTCACTTTTAAGCTTCAATCTTCTTTCTTCATTTGTTACATTGTTATTGTTAGTACTTAGTACTTGAAAAAAAGGAATATCAAAAGTACATAAAAGAGTTTTAGATCTTTTTTCTTTAATGAAAATTCATTTTTTGGTTATCTTGTGTTTTGTTTTAAAGATGTATTATACCTTTTCAGCTTCATTACAGGAAACTTATATTTCCTTGTTGATTCATATTTCATAGTTCTTAACCTCTCTTAGACCAACCTACACTAGTTGGGGACCAGGAGCGATCGGAAATTATTGATGCTGATGATGAGACTACAGCATCTGAATCCCTCATGGATGGGCAAATTTGGATGTCTTCTACTTTAACCATGCATGCAAAACGTAAGTGGATATTGTTGATTTTCTCTTGCTTTTCCCACCATTTTAACGGTATGATTTTATGATGTTAAAATGTCTAATTTGAAATGTTTATTTATTTACTTACATTTCAGTTCTATCATCGCGCAGCAGGTGCCTCATTATTTTCGCTTCATGCATCTTTTCCTTTTCTTCTTGTACAGATAGGAATATCTCATGGATGGCTCAGGAATTAGTCCCCAGAATACCGATCAATCAACCTCTGTTGTGCCATCTTCAGCAAAACGCTTTAAATTGTATCACTTGTTTTTTCTTTTCAATAATACTACATTTATCTAAAGACATCCGTTTATGGTTTACCATGACAAATTGTCTTTTCTCAAACACAAATGCACCTTAGTATGCTTGTTATTTTCTTCCGCCTCACGGTTTTCAGAAACCTGTTTATTTTTTTGTTCCTTTTCTTTGGGATGAGAATTGGTGTATTCTTTTTCTTTAGCTCAAACATGAAGCTTGTAAAAGAAAATTTTGAAAATGATTTTAAGTTGCCGAGCATATGGCATTTATGTTAATGCATTTCTTTTGCTCTACAGTCTCCAAGCCTGGGGATGATAGATCTAGTAATATTGTTGTATTTATGAAATTTTGTTAGGCTTTTTGCTGGCTTCTTATAAAGTAGGGTAGCTATTTCTGTTATTCAAGCTTTTGCTATTCTTTCTGAATGACTTTTGTTTTCTGGTGGATGGTGCCATTTTTTTTAAATTACTTTTTTGCAATTTCTGTAGGCTACCTGGTGACTGCCTTCCCATTCTGGATGATCCAAAAAACGGCTTCTGGCATGAAAAATTCTAAATTCTCATGACGTATATGCATGTAAGGCCATGTTGAATTAGTTGTCATTCTATTTCCTGACTTTTCCGAGCCATCTAATGCAGAGAGGCTCTGGTTCACAATAAGAGTTCCAATTTGTGTACGAGGGTCTCGGGACAGCTCTCAATCAAAATTCTGGAGCACAGATATATACCTCACAGAAGGCTATCCAGTTGCCAATTATTGCTTTTGCTTCTCTTGCATTAATATTTATCATGCACATTTGCAGCTAAGGACTTTCCAATAAACGGTTTCAGAAAGTGAAATCCCTATGAAAGCCCTTGAAAACTGTCAACTGACAAAAAGTAGTCTGCTGCTTCACTTGTCCATAATAGTTTCTTAATCTTGTACTTAACAATGAGTTTTCTTTCTGCCATTAAATCAGATCTTCCTGGGCCTTTGTACCAAAATGTATATTCTCAAAGGAATATTCGTCTTCGGCTAGCGCTTAGTCATCAGTACTTTAGTACTCCAACCAAAGAACTCTGCAGTGACAAGGCTAATCGACAAGTGTCAGAGCAAAGCACAATGACGTTACGGCATCTCAAGGGGTCAGTCCTCTTGAACAGGTGGATAATCTGCTTACTGAGAAGCAAGTGTGTTCTAAGCAGATATCCAATCAAGATCTGCTCAAATTTCAGAATTATGCTCAAGTAAATCCGAGAGGTACTTGCTGTCCAATGACTTTTCAAATCCACATCCCGTTGATGATATTCCAAGGCCTCAGGCTGATTCTGTTGGAATGACCGGAAGAAAATGTTCCTGAGCATGTGCTTTTCAGGCAACTCAGGTAGTCTACTAACAAAGTTGTGATGTTTTCCTTGTATTTTTTTCTTTATTTACTAATCTTCTATTAGGTTGATTATTTGCAGACAAACTGCTGGGACCTTTGCAGCCTCCAAATGGAATTGTTCATGTTGAATAGACAATGCAGGGTTCGATTTTTGCTTGGTGAAGGTGTATTTAGCCGTACATGAGGTTTAGGATCCATTTTTGAAAACCTAGAAAAGCATCTCTTCAATTGTTCATTCTAATCTTGTGAATTACACTTTCGAAACTGGCCTCTGTTTATATTTGCATAGAAATAAAGTAAATACCTTCCAATTACCATTGCTTGCCATCCGTTTGAGCGCAGAAGTGGTTTAGGTGAGGAATATAAGATTTGGCTATTAGCTTTCAAGATAATCTGTTGACTCGTATTGCAGATAATGAAGAACGGTAGGACCGTGACAGGGTGACCCATACTCGGATCAATGAGAAAATGATGCACCGAGGCAGAACCTGGAAAGTTGCTACCAGCAGAGATGCCATTGACAATGGTGTTTGACAGCAACAGACTTGGACAGACTCTTGTCTTTGGCCCTAAGGTTTGGCAAGAGACCCTAAGATGTACTTGTTTAGTGGAAATTTCCACATCACATGGGGATATGATTTTCGAGTCGTGAAATGCAATGGGATAAAGACATTTGGTTTCTTTGGGATCATGGAATTTTTGCCATTGTTTTCGATTACAGCGACAATTGAGAGGTGGGTCTCACAGGAATAAGCTTCAGATTTGTCCATAATATAAACAAATATAATAATCTATTGGCTAATGGCGTGAAAGTTCCCTAAGCCTTGGGAAAATCAATATAATTGTGAAATTCGATCCCCTGGTTGGTTTCTTTCGAGAAAAAAATAAACGATAGGAAAAAGAGGCCATTACTCGTGTTAGTTGGAGAAAATAGGGAGTGCTCAACAAACAGACAGAAGCAGGTGAAGACCAAATTATATTATGCAATCCTCTACTTGCATGGGCATGGGGTATACAAAGGCTTCAAGATATCAGCCCTATGGCTTTGTGTATGATCAACAGCAACCGGATTGACGTTCTTGTTGGACACTAAACTTGCCTCTCAACATATGGGATTTGAAATGTTGGTTTTGTAAGCAGAATGATGAACCATTCATCATTTATTTCTACAATGCACGCTCTTAAAGACTGAGTAAACAAATTTTAGCTGGCATTGCTATCATACGTATGATCAATCTTAAATAAATTATGTACACTTTGTTATTTACACCAACTCCATCAATACCCAAGCCCTAAGCATCAACATTCTCCTTCGGGTAACACACAATCATCGGGGTTTTTACATGGCTACAACAGAATAATGAAAGAGATGGTTATGGGGTGGAAACCTACGAGGAAGAAAGCACAAACTGTACATTAATGCACTATATGCAACCTCCTCCTCACTTGACTGATTATTCATTTTCGGAACAAAAAGTGTAGCCGGATCTCTCGACAAAGCGGTATTTCCTTTGTGATCCGTTTTTTTGCATGCTCCGAAACACGCGGATCCATCACGATTGTGCAGGATCTCCATTGTATGAACGTTAAATCAACACCATAGTAGTTTAAATGGTCCGTGATGCTGCTCCCGGACACTGACCTGCAATAGAATGTGAAAGGAGAAGAGAGTTCATGACAGATATCTAAAGTAATAATTCCACGTTAATCATGACTCGTTCTCGCTTCTCATTTGGAAACGCATAATCTATCCCGGCCATTATTTCTCCCTTCTTTTGCCAAGATGTAGGAAAGGAACACATGCATAAAGATGTCTTCATCTTACATATTCATAAACCGGAAGTAAACTATGCAATTAATCACCCAATTATCACTTCGGTTCCGTTTGGCCATCCAACTTATTTTTAATCATACCTAACATTACGTTTTGATTCCGTTTTGGTCATCTACTGTTAAAAAATATTTTTTTTTTATTTCAATGATATGACATTATCTTACGTCTACGTTAGCATCACCGTTAATTGTTTAGCAGTAAATGACAAAATGAAACTTACGTAACTTTAGGTATGATTTTGGAAAAAAATTGTTGGGTGATTAAAACGGAACAAAAGGGTAAATTACAAATTTGGTAACTGAACTTTACTCTCTCTTGTTCCAATCATTGTACTTTAAATCTTTCAATTTCCTCACCGACTTAATACATTGGGTTTTTTGGTCACTCAGTTGTTTCTCCTAACAGCGTTACGATGTGGCTTTTCTGTTGCTAACATAGGAGTGACCAAAAAATCCAATGCATAAAGTTTAGTTATTAATTGAAAATAGTTAAAAGTATAGCGGTGAAATAGGAGAGAGTAAAGATCAGTGGTTAAAATTGTAATTTACCCATTAAAAATAAAATAAAAAAGCAATGTCATAATGCCGTTAGTGAGGAAACGATTGAGTGAATAAAAAAACCCAACGTATTAAGTTCAATAAGAAAAATAAAAAGATTTAAAGTACAATGGGTGGAATATGGGAGAGAAAAAAGGTTGGTTATCATATTTGTACTTTACCCAATTAATAAATATGAGAGCACAAAGGTGCTTAAACACAAGCTGGAGTACAAACTACATATAATTTCCTTCACAAGTCTAAATCTACATACATAAGAGGCTTACCGACTGCAGTGTGGATCTTCGCCGGAACCATCGCAGATCTTCTCATATTGATAACCACACTTCCTAGTCCAATATTATACAGCCACACCTACAAATAACAGAGATGCAGAGTAACTAACTTATCCATGCGGTTCTTTGTGTACTCGGGCTGTATTACATGCATCAATCATCATCCTCTATTCACCACATTTATAATCTATGTTACACAGACTCTTCTTTTTCCCCAAAGTACTCCTGTCCAGCTTGTGTCCGACACATTTCGGATACGGGTATGAGGGTTGAATATCTAAAAGGTGGACAGCTTAGAAAAAATTGAGCAGACCCGTATCGGACACAATCCATATCCAACTCTCACCCCTTAAGGAATTTTAGTTTCAAACAATAGAGCAAATCATATGATTATTTTAGGTATCTTAAACTGTTTAGACTTAAAAAAACAAAGACCTTGTAAATTGTATATTTACACTCATGTGGTTCCAAACCCTTAAGTGTCATGAAACCCTAAAACGTAAACTATGACCTACAAGAAGGAACCTGGTAAAGATTAATCTGATGTAAATTTTAAATAGTGAACAAACAAGAAAATAAAGATTTTCTACCAACAACTAGTTGATCTAGTGGGATGAGGCACTAGGTCCCTTAAGCAAGGTCAGGGCATTTGCGAATGGAGCAAACTGGGTTGGGACGGTCACCCTCGCCTCTGCAGTACCCGCTGGATTAGTCGGTCAATAGATCGGATACCAGTGATTAATCAAAAAAAAAATTCTCTTCCAAGAATGATCAAGAACATGCAATACTGGCATTCACCTTTAGTGTTAGTTTGGACTCCAGATAACAGAAGGATGTAACTTAGCAACTCCTTAGTTTCCTGAACATTTGATTTTTTTTTCTCATTCGGGATTACATAACATTAAAATTTTCAATATTCAAATACTGATAACAACCAAATTAGCAGAATCCCGGCCCGAATTACCACTAATATTGCCAATTTTAGTTGCTCGGTCAAAGCCAAAAAAAAAAATAGAGAATATGTTTTTGGTTTCAACAAACAGTGTAACTTACTTCTGTAGGAAGTGATGGTACGTCTTTTCAGGGAAATAATAATATGGTGGCAGATGAGGTACAATGTCGTGTTCATTCGTGACTCTGATTGTGTTCGGCACAAGTTTGCCATAATAAGAAGCAAAGGCAGCATTCCCAATTCGAGGTTGTCCAAATGTTATAACTTGAACATTCTTGGCTTCATGGTTAACCTGGAAATACAAGATTACTCGGACATAGCAACCAAAGATCTTCCAGAATTTAACCAAGGAAATTAACTCAAAAGATTGGAGAAACCATGGTGTATAATTCAAACTCGTTTTAGCAATCAAGAAGTATTCATGTTGACCATACCATAATTTAACCAAGGAAAATTAACTCAAAAGATAAGTACGACAAAATAAAATATTTCTAGCTGAACTGAAAAAGGCTCAACTGTCAAGATTACCGTTAAGTCGAGTGCACAAAAGGAAGCTATAGCCCCTCCCATTGAATGGCCAGTAATCATGATGTCGAGGTCCCCATAAAACTCTTTTGTTTTTTTAACAGCATATAGAATTCCAGAGCGTATGGTTGTATTGTGATAAGCGGTATAAATCCGTGGTGTACCTGAAACAGACAGAAAAGACTGAAGATTAACAACAACCACTCTAGCATATATTCACAAATTGGGATAAGTTTGTATGCTACCATAGCATTAGGCATACCAGGGTAATTCAAATCAAGTTTGTTTCCAGAATAAGTCTTTAACCCAATTCTGTATGCTGCAACAGACAGATGAATCAATCAAAACCGAAGGAACAAAAAACCTTATTAATTTGTAAGAAAAAACAATATCTTAGTTTGAGAAACTTCAAATCTTCTTTATCGTTTATCATTAGATGCCGCTGGACAACTCTTTTTGAGAACAATGCTGAACTGAAATTATACAGGCAAATAAAATAGTACCTGTTATCCTGTGTTCCTCTAAAGGCAATAACAATGGCATTAATATCCTTTGCCACTCCAACAAATCCCTATCAATTGATAGTCATTTTCATGTCAGTTACAAAAGAAGTACTATGAATAAACACATACTTCATCCAGATACTAATCTATGTTACTAGAAGATGTCGGATACAAGTATATATCTGACACGAGTATGCCCAATTTTCTCTAAGTTTTCACATATATTTTCTCCAAATATGTTCCAGTCCGGACACAGGAGCTTAGGAAAAACGGATTCAGAGCAACAAAATGAACAATGAGAAATGCACCTGTAAACAGTTCTGAACATCAATGACAAGCTCAACAACTTCAAATCCCTGTTTCAAAAAAGGAGCATTAGGATGACTGATTCGAATCGAAACCTACTTAAATAATGAATATTAAATAAAAATATATAAAATCAAGTACCTTAGTCAAACCATCACATCTTTCACACGTCCAAGTAAAAAGTTGTTAAATCTGACGCAAACCTATTGGGAGAAAATTTGCTTGAGCAACCAAATCAAAGATAAGAAAAGAAATGAGTGAAGCACACAACAACTCTATGTAATATATTAGCAACAACATTCAACTGATTGATTAGTCTATTAGAACAAACAAGATGGGAGCATTTACACCGAACTTAGGACTTCTA